TGATCGATATGCAAATTTACCTTCGGATGTATGGTTAAATGTGATTCCTTTTTTTCTCAATTTCACGCCGCCGAGTGAATTTAGTTAGATAATCACTGGAGGCTATACAGCAATAGACATGTGTTTTATCGTCGTATGGGACTTTTTAAACATACGAATCCTATGACATAGTTTCATGTCTCTGAGGGAGTTAAACTTTCATAAACACTGTGAATGCATTTGAATGATAAAAGTTTCTCTATGCAATACTCGGATGTCAGATGATTTTATGAAATAGCCTATGCTACCAAACTACTTTTCATTCGGACTATTTACTCTAGTTGTTCTCTTTACATATTTATTATTATCATTGGATTCGTATCTTAACTTCTGAGCATTTGGATAAATTTATTTATTTTCTTGGTGTGTTGAAAAATTATCCAAGTCAAAGAGATGTGATATTTGGCTGTGGATTTATGCGTCATATTTGTACTACTTACGAATTACATTTGTTTCTTACATAAATCTATATAATTTTACTAAACTGTACATTTCTTTAAAGAACTGTTACATAGAGAGATGTTACATAGATTCACATTTAAACTAGACTTTATACTTAATCTATAAGTTTTCAGTTGAACATAGGAACAATGATTCAGTTCATATGACGAATGCGATATTTAAATAAATAGACATCTTAATCCGACAAGTTAACAAAATTTTAAATCGGAGAAACAATTTGATAACATGAAGGTAATTCACTTCTGCCATAGAATACAACATTGTTGTTTTCTGAACTAGCTTCAAGTGAGCAAATGGTTTATTAGTCTATGAGATTATTCACAAAATACGATTATTCAAGTCATCATTAAAAGCAAGAAACAGTTTATTAAACTACTTGTTAATCAAAAGTAATATACAGTAAAATATTAAAGAAAATTGGTAGTAAACAAACTACTAAACCACAAAAATATCAAAGCACAACTTCTTCAACGATGCTTTTCATGATCCAAACCGGAGTTTGTTCAAAACCGAGGCTTCAGTCATTTAGATGTTTTAGCAGTATTCTCAGTACAACCACAATTAAATATTATAGCGACTTGGCTGAAATTATTATTATTATTTATAACAATCTACCCAATGCTCAATTTATTCGAAATATCAAGTCAAACCTTGGTAACGATACCTATTGTTATAATTGTTATCCTTATTCACTATTATAATTTTGGTACGATATAGGATTCACAGCACAAATTATTTCAGCAAGTTTCCGTTTCTTATTTCTTGACCGATATTGACGATAAATATTAAGTGGTCACAAGTTCAGATGTTACCGTCAGTACCAGGGAAAGTCTTTAACAGAGTGTTGCTGAACCAGATTGAGAGACGCAGTAGACGCCCAACTTCCAGGTCAACAGGCTGGATTCCGTAAGGATCGGTCGTGCACAGACCAAATTGCGAAACTGCGGATCATCGTTGAACAGTCAGTTGAGTAGAACTCGTCACTGTACATCAACTCCCTTGATTATGAAAAGGTGTTTGGCAGTGTAGGTAGGAGAACGTTATGGAAACTTCTTCGACACAACGGAGTTCCTGAGAGAATTGTCAACATCATTCGGAATTAATACGACGGATTACAGTGTGAACTCCGCCTGTAGCTCTAATAGGGTTACTGACGGTCCCAAGCCCGGGTAAAGGAGGAGGGTTGGGCATGGGGTTAGCGTCCCCATCCCGTAGAAAACTAACTCGCTAAAAAACGCTTACCAGAAAAAATTATTCAAACCATTTAAACTCTGCCCTGGGAGTTAGAAGGTCTTCATTTAGAAGAACTATGACGCTTCATGGTGAAAGCCGAGTTCCTTCGGAAGCCACGAGGCCGATGCCCCTTCTAACAACCAGAGCAAAAATTTTTATAGGTACACGGAACGTTCGTACAATGTGGGAAACCAGGAGGACCAGTCAAATAGCAATGGAGATGAGGAGATACAACTTAGCAGTACTGGGAATCAGCGAAACCCACTGGACCCAAGCTGGACAGAAAAAGCTAGCTACGGGAGAGATGCTGCTATACTCCGGTCACGAAGAGGAAAATTCTCCACACACTCAGGGAGTCGCTCTTATGCTGTCCAAAGTAGCACGAAATGCACTTGTAGGATGGGAATCTCACCGATCCACAATCATCAAAGCATCATTCAAAACAAAGAAGGAGGGGATCTTAATGAATATTATCCAGAGTTATGCACCCACCAATGATAGCAACGACGACATTAAAGATCAGTTCTACGAGCGGCTGCAGTCAATCATTGAGAAATGCCCAAGAAAGGACCTCACTATTCTGATGGGAGATCTAAATGCCAAAGTCGGAATAGACAACACCGGATATGAAGATATTATGGGACGACATGGACTGGGAGAAAGAAACGAAAATGGAGAAAGATTTGCTAATCTGTGTGTATTCAACAAATTAGTCATAGACGGCACAATATTTCCACACAAACGTATACACAAGGCTACATGGATCTCACCGCACCACACCACAGAGAACCAGACAGATCATATTTGCATGAAAAAAAAATTCCGAAGGACAATGGAAGATGTGAGAACCAGGAGAGGAGCTGACGTAGCTTCAGATCACCACCTAGTTGTAGCCAATTTAAAACTGAAGTTAAAAAAGAACTGGACAAGTGGACAAACAGCACTACAAAGGTTCAATACAGCCTTCCTTCGAGATACTGACAAACTCAATGAATTCATGATAGCTCTCAACAACAAGTTCCAAGCCTTACAAGATCTACTGAAGGAAGAAGAAACTACTATGGAGGACAACTGGAAAGGCATCAAGGAAGCACTAACTTCAACGTGTCAAGCACAAGCTGAATACATAGAAGCAAACAAACAAGTGAAGAGGAGCATTAGAGCCGACAAGAAGAAATACGTGGAAGAACTAGCAACGACGGCAGAAAAAGCTGCTAGAGAAGGAAATATGAAACAGCTTTACGATACAACGAAGAAACTAGCAGGGAAATACAGTAAACCAGAGAGGCCGGTCAAAGACAAAGAAGGCAAGCCAATCACCGAAATTCAACAACAGCGTAACAGATGGGTGGAATACTTCGAGGAACTCCTGAATAGGCCGGCTCCAATGAATCCACCGGACATCGAAGCAGCACACATAGACCCACCAACGACGGAAGAAATTAGAATGGCCGTCAGACAAATCAAGAACGGGAAAGCAGCAGGACCCGACAACATACCAGCTGAAGCACTGAAATCAGACATCGAAGCAACCACAAGCATGCTATACCTTCTATTCAAAAAGATTTGGGAGGAGGAACAAGTGCCGATGGACTGGAAAGAAGGACACCTCGTCAAGATTCCAAAGAAAGGAGATCTGAGCAAATGTGAAAACTACAGAGGCATTACACTACTGTCAATACCAGGGAAAGTCTTCAACAGAGTGTTGCTGAACCGGATGAAGGATGCAGTAGACGCCCAACTTCGAGATCAACAAGCTGGATTCCGTAAGGATCGGTCGTGCACAGACCAAATTGCAACACTACGGATCATCGTCGAACAATCAGTTGAGTGGAACTCATCACTATACATCAACTTCATTGATTATGAAAAGGCATTCGACAGTGTAGATAGGAGGACATTATGGAAACTTCTTCGACACTACGGAGTTCCTGAGAAGATTGTCAACATTATCCGGAACTCATACGACGGACTACAGTGCAAAGTAGTGCATGGAGGACAGCTGACAGATGCATTCCAAGTAAGGACTGGAGTCAGACAAGGCTGTTTACTCTCTCCCTTCCTCTTTCTTCTGGTGGTCGACTGGATTATGAAGACCTCGACATCTGAAGGAAAACACGGAATACAATGGACAACTCAGAATCAATTAGACGATTTGGACTTCGCAGACGACCTAGCCCTCCTATCACGTACACACGAACAGATGCAGATGAAGACAGCCAGTGTAGCAGCAGTCTCTGCATCAGTAGGCCTCAGCATACACAAAGGGAAAACCAAGGTCCTCAAATTCAAGGCGGAGAACAGCAATCCAATCACTCTTGATGGCGAAACTCTGGAAGATGTAGAGTCCTTCACATACCTAGGAAGCATCATCGATGAACAAGGAGGTTCAGATGCAGACGTAAAGGCGAGGATCGGCAAAGCAAGGGTCGCATTCCTACAATTGAAGAACATATGGAACTCAAAACAACTTTCAACCAATATCAAAGTGAGAATCTTCAATACGAACGTCAAGGCAGTTCTACTGTATGGAGCTGAAACTTGGAGAACTACCACAAGCATCGTGAAAAAGTACAAGTATTTATAAATGGTTGTCTACTCAAGATACTCAATGACCGTTGACCGGATACCATCAGTAACAGCCTACTGTGGGAGAGAACAAACCAGCTTCCAACTGTAAATGAAATTAGGAAAAGACGCTGTAGGTGGATAGGACATACATTACATAAATCATCAAACTGCATCACGAGGCAAGCACTAACTTGTAATCCTGAAGGGAAGCGGAAAAGAGGAAGGTCAAAGAACATATTACGTCGAGAAATAGAATCATATATGAAAAAGATGAATAAGAACTGGAAGGAGCTGGAAAGGATTGCCCCGGACAGGGTTGGATGGAGAATGCTGGTGAGCGGCCTATGTAAGTAAGTAAGTTTAGATGCTACCAGTTTATGAATCGACATCTGAATAATATTCATTTTTTTCAATGCAGATTGCTAGCCACTACGATGTCTTCAATTGTAAATTTTTGTAACTTGTACAGCAAAAGATCATAAACTTTTCACGAACACACCTGAATAGATTATGCAATTGATTGACACAATGATCTGTTAAAACAAACAACGAAACATATAACTTGTTGAAATATCTAGATGGAAGGAACAGGTAGCCCAGATATTCAAGCAGGCCATTTCAGATATATAAATCTTGTTTGACTTGGAACATGATGAGTTTGTAATGATATTTCAGTTTAACAAAATACATGTACCATTTCACATAAACTTCGCAACGGTCATACAAAATGATCTTCGTCTATGCAAAATTAAAATTACAGTGACTTTCAAAAACACTAAGAAGTTAAGAGTGTTTATTTCATAAAAGCCATTTCGAAAATACATTAGTTATGTGATAAATAATGTTTAAAATAAAACTACTATCAAATTTTATACAAATTAATTGTTCGAAAATAATACAACTGATTAAAAAAATGAATATTTATTGCCGTTTTCATCAATATAAATACGATATAACCTGGTGGAATGATTCACTTCATCATCTAAATAAGCTTTTTATTCATTTGTAAACGTTTAGATTCAATAAAATAATAGCGTACAATCCGCCAATGATCATCATTAATAAAATCATGGTGACACCGTTCCACATACGAATTCCTTCTATGTGAACAATCGGAGACCGGTAATTCGCAAAGTAAGCTTTTTCGAGAATATCGATTTCTCATTGTTGAGATATCAGTTGTTGGAGTTTTGTCATAGTCTTCTAGCGATAAAGTAGCCAAATTAAGTGATATGTTTGGTGTGTCGTACTGACAGAGTTCACTGCATTTAGCTGAATTCGATGAGTGGAGCGGAGTTGCATACATAGGCAAGGTGTTGTTTGGAATTTTGAATTCAGGTGTTCGTTCGTACACCATTTGGGTTTGATTTAATGACGTTTTATTCATTACCTGTCTGGACAGAATGTAGGGATTATAATTTTATTAAGTTGGACATTAAATCGTTGGTAAAGGAAAACCCGTAAGATTTTTTAAAAGTCCTATTAAGTGTGATTTACATTAGGAGAGAAGTCATACATAGAGGGCAGTCATCCTTATTCATTTCACCAAACATGTCTGATCTTAATACGGTTTATAGAGTTTTATCAGATGAGTGAAATTATTATTATTCGAAAAATGGACCATAGCTTGCCTTTTGATATAGAATTTATCCATTCATAAACAAATTTCTCTAACTTCCTTGGATTGAATCATTTCTTTCTACTGAGCATACAAGTGAACCCCTTTATTCATATGTATATATAACAGTCATAATTACATTTGAATTCTTCCTGAGAGATAACTGATCATCGCTTGTTCTAGGACAGTTTCATACATTAATGGTTTCTTATATATGCAAAGGTCACTAATTCTCAAATTGTCTAAAGTATTTCAATATTCTCACATATGCACATGAACATATTACTGTATACAAGAATGAAGCTTGATGATGATCTAATAGAAAAAATATGGTTCAACAATATATTATTCTAAAATAGATTCAATATGCTCTGAATTTATTTGGCCTGAACCACATGATGCATCACAGTTCCTGAGATCAGTCTTGATATAGAAGATTATATTGCAGTTCTTTTGTTTAGCAACAACGAACAACTCACCGGACATACACAAATATAGTGTCCAGGTGCGCGAGAAAGTTCACAAACCTGTGTCTAATAACATGTAACCTGTTTAACCATCTGATTTACAGGCTGCACAAAGTAACTGTAACGTGATCTCCCATATCAAGACTAATTTCAGGAGCTACGATGCAAAAGCACAATATTATAGCTCCACCAGTAATCAAGGTAAAGATTCGGATACGTTATGCAAATGACGCGTTCCTTATTATGGAAATAGATCTGCTCGAAAGTACTCATAAGTTGGTCATCAAGATTTTCGATGACGTCAAATCCACAAGAGAGAAAAACTCTTATTTTTGAACGTTTTAGTCGACAGAATAAATACGGGATCTTTGGAAACACAAATATACAGGAAACCAGTTCACATGGATCAAATATTCAAAGACAATTAACATTACTACAGGAACAAACGAATACAATAAAACCTAAGAAAACAGTCTGTCATACACTAGGTCATCAGAATGCACAGATATAACACTTATGGAATAACTGGAAGCCTCACTTCTACATAAAATAGGCACTGAAGATGTTGTCCAAACTGTCAATTAAAGCTCTGCAAATAACTTACTATTTCCAAGTTATAAGTAATCCTTTATGGGTGCACAGAATATAAATAAGTACATATATACATTGTCTTACCAATCAAATCAAATAAATTTGGAATTCTTGGTGAGAGAGAATACTTGAATGAATTTAACTCATATATTCTATTTATTTATGACCTAGAATACATTTGATTGCGTCATGTTGATGTATATCGAGTTACTGCATAAACATCAATTCGATATTATGAGCTGTATTCAAATTTATTGTAACAAATCGAATACAATCTATTACATCATTGCCTATCCTAAAACAGAAAATTATCCAAGTATTTTATTAACTGAAAATTATATGCTTATTTACATTGAGCTAACCTCTTACTTATATCACATACACATATATATACATACACAAGTGGTTGACTATGTAGGGTCGGTGAAATGTCACTGAGCCCTAGCCAAATCGTCCGGCAGTTGGGTCACTGATCGTCGATCCCTGTCAGGGTCACGGACAACCAACGCGCATTAGTGAATCGTATGCCATGGACTGGCGCATGAGGTGGTGGTCTTGCTATCTTCTCTGTACTCATTCCTACTAATATATTTCCTTAATAACTTCCTTAATGTTATACGGTCTTCAGAGCAGCCATAGTACTTTGATACGTCGAAGGGGTAATCCACGTTAGATGTTGACCGCAAAGTGTGATTTCGAAGTTAGCTGGTTCGTCACATCATTCCCGTCTAATTCGAGTAAGCCTCCAATCATTTGACATAGATCATATAACTTGATGATCTACAACTACATTTAAAGTGGTATCATTTTCAACTTAACCACCATTTATTTAAACACGAATTTCAGGGAAATAGTTAGATAACAGTGATTAATTCCTTCATATACATATTTGTTATATCCTAGTGAAGATTAAAATACGGGTAACTTCTGAGAATTATTGATGGACTGATATTATTCTTATTGTATAACTAATCAGTAACTAGATTGTGCATATCTATATTCCTTTTGTCATAAGCTTTATTCCGACCTATAGACCATTATTATACGATCTACTGTTATGTCCAGTTTATTAATTACAGTCTCCCACGTTCACAGACACTTTTTGGCTTGATCTTATACAAATTTTATTTCCTATTTTATAATGTGGTGTGGTTCATTTAGCTTGTATATAAATCAGATATGTTTGGAATAAATGATTCGTATAGTGAAAGCTGGTATTGGTGTTCTGGACTCAACCGGTAGAGTTAGGTAGGAAAAAGGACCAAGAAGGACTCTAGGCTGCTCATGCCAGTCGAAGGTCATTGGTTTGGCATAGTATTAAGATTGTATAAGTCGTATTCCGATTGGTGAATAAGTCACATAATAATTAACCGGTCTAAATATCACAATATTTTGGAATTTTTTAACTTTTATGAATAGGAAATTAAAAATTGTTATTTATTACACTGTATAATCAAAAGTGATTTATTAACACTTTTATCTTGATAACAAAATAAACCGAAACTGTAATGTTAAATAGTTTAGGGTAAATCAGATGAAAAAGCTTGGACCAGATTGCCAGGTGAAACGTTGGATTGACTTCAAATATTTTCGCTGAGATTTTACAAATAAATTCTTCCTCTTTAATGTCTCACACTAACTCGGCGCCCAAATATTGTGAAACTATTCGTTCAAATTTAGACGAAAGTTCTTATTAATTAGATGAAACATTTATTTAGGAATTTTTAGCCCTAGTTATTGTGTAAGTCAAGCTAACATATTTTCAACATCGAAATTAACGAGTATAGTATTAGAAGAATTAACTGTAGTATAAATATTAACTGTTAGTAATATATCTCAATGTATATTAAATATTCCCATCAAGACATATAAGATAAAATATAAGATAAGAAATAGTTTCTCATCAAGGTTCTATATCAATAAATAATTTTTACAGTTAGGAATGAAATCAAAGAAGAAAAGAGAGCAATTAAAAATCTATTTCAAAACATTTAGTTACCATATAGACACAAGCTTAACCTTCAAATTATTCACTGAAATTCCATTGAACGTGCATCATATTTTCATCATTCTTTCTTTACACATAGATGAACACATCAATAAACATAACGATTTAGTACAGAAAAACATTATATTATATTTCAGAACTTCTCATCAACTGTAAATGACCTCGAGTTGTAATCAGTATAAATAATCAATGAAGTTGAGTTCAATAAGACATAGATAATAATAAAAGTAGGAAGTTATGAAATATTTAACATGATACTTAAAATAAATGGGTATAAATATTCTCAAAATGAAGTCATACAAAATCTTTATTAGGATTATTATCCCTTAGAAGTTGGCAGAAAAACGGTTACAAGTCGAAAAAATAAATACAAGGGACTGAATTATGGAAGTAAATGCACAAATAGATCGACTATGCAGTTCGTTGCTTTAAATAAAGTCCATGACTGAAACATGGATGATATCGGGTTCAATAAATAGGTTTCAAATAACTCTGCAAATTAAGTATACAATTAAAGTACAGCATAATATGAAAGTGCGAATGCAAAGAAAACAAGAGACAGATTGCACATTGAGTTTCTTTATAAAGTATATTGATTCTTCAAGAATGTTTATGTATATATTATATAAGTAGTATTTATTTATGATCAGTCTATCATGAGTACAATTGAGGGACCTAATGGATTATGTTTAATTAATAAAGACGATTATTTTCTTTGGTATAATTTAATTTTACATATTAATTTCCTTGCTATATCATACAAATCTCATTACAAATTATTCACAATTGATTTCTGTTGAAGTTTCATTGAACTGATTCATATTGTTCCAACTTTCAAACCTGTTAACTTTTATGTTAATTTCAATTCTTTTAATTACTACTTTTAAATAAACTTCATGGATAGATAAGATGAATTAAAAAACACTGGGTTTTTTTTATATATTTTGTAATTTCAATCATAAAAATGTTATTTAAAGTCATCATATAGAACTTACATGTATACTCTGATTATGATGAAATTTTGTTCTCTGAGCTGGATAGTTTGGTAGTGAAACTTTCATCTCTCTTCGGAATGACATTGTCGGCACAAACTTCAGGTAGAAGTCTACCTCAGAGAACAAAACTCCATCAAAATCGTCCACCTGAGCTATAAATCTCCACCGTCACAATAGTCCTAGAATCAATCTACAAGAAATATCCTGACTGCAACATTTAATATACTTACATACTTATTTAGGCCTGTTATCCCTCATGGGAAGCATAAGCCACCCACCAGCATTCTCCATCCAACTATGTCCTGGAAAATCTTTCTCAGTTGCTATTCGTCCTTTGATGCCTGCTTCCGATTATCGACGCAGTAAGCTCTTCAACCTTCCTCTTTTCCATTTCCCTTCAAGATACCAGGTGGGCGTTCGCCTCTTGATGCATCTTGATAATTTACGCATGTACATCCTATCCACCTGCAGCGTTTTTTCCTAATTTCCTATTCATTTGGAAGCTGGTTTGTCCTCTCCAACAGTAGGCTGTTTCTCATGGTATCCGGTTGACGCACATTGAGTATCTTCAGTAGACAATTATTAATAAGTACTTTTATCTTGTTGATAATGCTTGTGTTAGTTCTCCAAATTTCAGCTCTATACAGTAGAACTGACTGTTTTGACGTTCGTATTGAAAATTGTGACTTTGATATTGGTTAACAGATAGTTGTTTTGAGTTTCATATTTTGTTCAACTATATGAATGCTGTCCTTGCTTTGCTCATCCTCACCTTTGTGTCTACACTGGATCCTCGTTGTTTATCGATGGTGTCTATGCAGATACGTGAGAGTTTCCACATCTTCCAGAGTTTCTCCATCATGTATGATTGAGTTGGTGTTCTCCGTGTTGTGTTTGAGGATCTTGCTTTTACCTTGTATGTGTTGAGGCCTACTGATTCAGAGACTGCTGCTATACTGGCTGTCTTTATCTGAATTTGTTTTTGTATATGGAATAGAAGAGCTAGGTCATCTGTAAATTCCAAATCGTCTAGTTGATTCCAAGCTGTTCATTTTATTTCGTGCTTCCCCTCAGATGTCGAGGTCTTGATAATCCAGTCGACCACCAGGAGAAAGAGGAAGGGTGAGAGTAAACAGCTTTGTCTGACTCCGGTCCTTATTTGGAATGCATCTGTCAGCTCTCCTCCATGCACGACCTTGCACTGTACTGCGTCGTATGAGTTCCGCATAATGTTGACTACCTCCCTATGTATACCATATTGTTGGACAAAATCCCATAGGGTTTGCTTATTTACACTATCAAACTCCTCATAGTCAAGGAAATTCATGTATATTGACGAATTCCATTCACTTGATTGTCCTACAATTATCCGTAGTGTCGTGATTTTGTCTGTGAAAGACCAATTGTTACGAAATCCAATTTGTTGATCTCGAAGTTATACGTCCACTGAATTTTTCATCTGCTGTAGCAACACTTTCTTGAAAACGTTTCCTGGTACTGGAAGTAGTGTGATGGCTGTGTAGTTCTCACATTTGCTCAGATCTTTCTCTGGCATCTTGGTGAACTACTCGTCTTTCCAGTCTGTCTGTCGGCACTTGTTTTCCCTTATAAATATTCCTGAATAGAGTGTGAATTGTGTTTGCAGTTACTTCTATGTATGACTTCAGAGTTCCACCTGGTATGTTAGCGGGTCCTGATGCTTCCCCACTGTTGACTTGTCTGATAACCATCTTGATTTCTTCCATTGTTGGTGGAGTGACATCAAGAGGAAGGTCTGTGTGTGCTGCTTCGATATCCAATGGATTCAATGAAGTTGATCTTTTCAACAGTTCCTCGATGTGCTCTACCTATCTGTTTCTCTGTTCTTCAATCGTGGTGATTGTCTTGCCTTGTTAGTCTTTGACCGGTTTCTCTGGTTTATTATATGTCCCTACTAGCATCTTGGTTATACCATAGTTGTTTCATATTTTCTTCTCTTGCAGCTTTTACCGCTGTCGTCGCTAGTCCTTCCACGTGTTTCTGCTTGTCGGCTATAATGCTCTTCTTCACTTGCTAGTTTGCATCTGCGTATTCAGCTTGTGCGTTGACTTTCTCTGCTTTTGTTCGGCTGTTGTTAATTGCTGTCTTCTTGTTCTTCCTTTCTTGAATTTTGTGTAGGGTTTCCATATAGATCCTTTCTCTATGGCGATTTTTCTTCAGACCCAG